AATTGAATATCAGGAAAGTAATAAAATAAACTACAACATTTTATCCTAGAATACCTGTTTTGTCATTCTACTAGATCTAACGAAGGATTAAACACAGTGTTATGTCTACGTCACGTGGACCTTAGTTTGGGTTAGTTAAAGCAAGGTTTAAGGCATAACACAGTTATAAATCAATATTAAAGGTCGATACAAGCTGTCATTCAAACCCCAGTCATCTGGAGTACAATGACGTTCTATTGGAGTGGCAATTGCCTCAACGAGTCAAGTGCTATTAAACCGACGACCATATGGTACATCTATGTGTTTGAATCGCGTTTGGTACATTAAATGTTTGCGTACCTACTGTTTTTTTATACTCATAGAATTTTATAAAGTATAAGAAATTTATTATCAAGTTTACACATTGAATAAAATTAGATTTTGATTTTGTTTTTAAGAGTTATTGTACTCTACGATACCGAAAAGTAGAAGTATTATTGTCTGTGAGATAGGACCTCTCAGATGCATTGTACTTATTGAAATGTAATGTAGTAGTATGCTAAGATAACGGACCGTGAGTTTAAAAACTATAATCCTACACTGGCCCTTACACTTTGTTTACGGCATTGCTTGACAAGAAAATAGTGTTATTTTGTTAAATATTGCAATGATAAGAAAGATATATTATGTATGAAGATCACAGATTGTGAGTCAGTGGAACACACTAACGCTATTGTTGTCACGCAAATTGTTGTCACCACTTAATTTACCCGCGGCAATTAATTTCAATTGAATACACCTGCAGATGCATTGATCAATGAATAACTACTTATTTCTAATCAATATTAGAACAAATTATATTTATAACAATAAGGCTAGGTTTATACTACAACGGAGTTAGAATATTTAGGGAAGGCCGGCCGGAATTAAGCATATTAATGTGTGTGGCTGTCACATAACACCATAACAAAAATACAAAAGCCGCTAAAAAACCCAAAATCAGGGTCCACGATTGTATCCGCTATTAAAAGCAGTTTTATGATGAACACTGTCACGTTTCTTCTTTAGCCTAGCTCTTCATGCCTGACCCAATGGTCAGAAGTCGTGATCAGCTTATTGTAAATTATCAAATAGATAATTTGACAGCCTATGTGTATGTAAAAAAAGTAAATGAATTCAAGTGCAAATGACAATGAATATCAGTGGATATCGCACCCTTATAAGATAAAAATTGTAATCAACATTTTGTGTCACTTTAAGAAATTAAACTTTAACAAAATTTAGCACTTTAAGATATCAAAAATACACACCACACAAGTACTCATGTTAAATTAACAGGGAATTTACTAAAATTACAAAAGTAAAATTTAGTGTAACAATACTTTTTTCTTACTGTAGTCACTATAGTCATAATAATAATAATAACCTCAGACATCTAATACACGCCCGTCTGATCCCGAACTACGCAGAGCCTGTACTATGGTAACCAGACTGCTGATAAACATTCTTATACATTTCTAAATAAATACATATTCTATATGTATTTAAATAAACTGCACGAACGGCGTAATGGTCGCCACGCCGCTTCCTACTGCGCTGAGTGTTTTGGGTTCGATCCCCACTTGGGACACTACTTTGTGTGATCCACAAACTGTTGTTCTGAGTCTGGGTGTTTTTTGTGTCCGTTTCAGGTATGTTTTAAAGTCCCCCGGGACACAGGATATATATTCCTAATGCGGTTGTCTTAACAAAAAAAAATACGCTTATTACAGAACAAACAATCGTGCTCATCACACAATTATACCAGGTATATATACATGTGGCTTGTGTATATTACGCCTAATGGTGATCACGACTGTATTTGATGGTTTGCAACAAGGCCATGGGTGTCTCATGACGTAGCAGCAATGCTTGTCCTCGTCTGGCTGGGGTCAATTGGCATCTAATTGTAGATTCGACGAGTGTACTGAATGCGTTGAGTCGATGTCCCCCTCAGCTATATGAAAGTATGTATTTTTTCTCAGATTTAAAATACACCATTAATTTCTTAGATATTAAATTTGACAGTAAGCAACGTCACATTAAAATGCTTAGTGTTTATTTTTTATCGTTTTTATCTGCAAAGATTATTCCAGTAAAGCTAATCTTTAGGACAAACATATATCTGTAGGTTGTATTTCATGGCTCTTTTTTTTTAATCCAGGCTAACCACTGACCTCTTCAAACCTTGAGGGATAAGTGTAAAATAGTATCTATTTTATTCCTAAGCCGCCTTTAAGAAGAACAGAAGTTATCCTTACATATAAATCCAGTTTCTGTTTTCGGAGGCATAATGGGAGAAGAAGGTGACAAGAATGTTATCAAAAAGTCTACAGTAATTAATTACAATGAGACAGAATATGCAAAGTAATTAAGTCTTAGCGTCAGTTTAACAGCTTCATTCTATTATTAAGACTAGATTACATTTGAGTTTGATTAATTATGGTTCGTTGTATTAAAACAATATTTAATCTTGATTGTACTTATTTAAGCCAGACAAGTATTAAAGCCATTGTCGTACATGCTATGTCTGTTGGCGTCATAATACTCTTATAATTTTAAATAACAGTTTTATTGTTTTGACCCATAGATTATACTATCTCTGCCTTACACCTAAAACGTACATTAACCTTTATAAAATGGTACGATGTGTATTATTTACTTTATGAATTTGCTTGTTATCTGTTTTTTTAATATGTGTACTTAATAACGTCAGATATTATAATGATATCGATTATCGTGATCGGATCGGACGATTTCATACACATGAGGAGTAAGCTAGAGATAACTAATTCCTGCTTGAATTTTAGGCGAAATGGGAAAATACCCCGTTTTACCAATACTTGGTACCTCCATTCTACTGATAAACGGAGGAATACTAAATGGAGGTATCCATTCTACTGATGGGTAGGTTTACCAGAGTTCAGTAATAGAAACTGTCAATTTAAAAGGCAGGTAGACACTGTTAATGTCGAAAGTCGACAACATACAAATAGAAACCGCTCAATGCTTCACTACCATTAAGCGGTCGGACCCCTCTTTGTCTACGAAAATGTTCATGAAGAAAAAAACTTTTAGTTATTTCTTGACAAAATACTGCGTTTTTAAACTTGTGCTCAAGTACGTGAAAGACGTGACCGCGAGTCCAGATTTTATGACAAATAAATCACCAAGGTGAATCATCTTCAAGCAAGCAATGGCAAGCCATAGAACATAAAAAATTGAAGATTTCATTGTTGTTTGTAAAACACAAGGAGTACAGTTTACTGGATTGCTTTTGATAAAACCACAGTCGTTTATCGTATCGCACACGCAGTCTAGTCAAGCAGTAAGTAATGTAAATAACAGGAGCAACTATTGGTATGATAATATTTAATAATAATATTTTATACTATGAATGAAATTGATTTAATCATAAATCTTTGTGATTGACTTTATTATTTGTGTATATACTGGTATGTAGGTTTTTTTTTAATTTATACTATAATAAAGTATGTATTGGTTATATGTATGTGCACGTAGTGTATAGAAGTCAACATTTTGGTAATAGATATTAATTAAGTCCTTTATATACAAAATACACACTTGGCATACACAGTTCTGCTTCACCTAAAGGTCGACGGGAAGAAAATGACATTAAATCCGCTTAATGCAATGTATTTGCAGGAAGTATTTCTTTTTATGCCATGCACACTTCAACTATTCTTATTAAGCACGCCTGCTAAACTTAAATTCGCGTTTATTGAGCGACGCAATTGATCTTGGCATCCATTTCTCTGCATTAACCGAAGGAAAGTGACTTTCCACTGAACAGAGTATACTGTAATCTTTTAGCAAAGCACATCTAGATACTGTTTAAAGTTGATTAACAACTTAAAGGATTTTTAAATTAGGGTTATAATATATATATTATAACAGACCTGTTCCATCAATGTGCATATTACAAGCTACACTCGCTCGACATGGCACTCACTCGCTATCAGCAGCGCAAAGTGGGGTTGACGAGCTGTGATAAGCACATATCGGGCCGGCCTCGCTCCAAGTCTCAACTCACACCATATATTTCAATTAATAACTTCAATGATAAAGTGAGATTTTGAATCAAACCCATGTTCATTTGAATTGTTGTGAACAGCGTGTGACCTTAACAAAATGATTGCTATGTCAACTGGTAATCAGTCCGTTATTTAGTAATAACATATTTTGGGAGACATTTAAGTGTATTCGTGATATTATGCTTAATAAAAACGTAGCAGAGATGATATACTTTTATGACTAGTCATAGGTAAGAAACCCACATTGAGCATGTATTTATAAACATGAAAAAAATAAGATAACGGGGAATATATAATAAGGCATAGCGTTTGGCGTAAATGAATAAGGGCTATTTTCATTATATATTTATTAGGGGTTAAAGTATGTACTTGCCGATTTTCACTGAAAAACTAAAACTCGTTTTTTTCTAAGATGTACCATATTTATCTAATCAAAATATTTACCCTCATTATTTTTACATTGCTGCCATCTAAACGGAAGTTGCCTTTACGATAGAACTCTGGAGATCTAGATTCGACAAACTGTGTAAAAGCATTTTGTACTGCCTCTCGGGCAGTTTTTTTTTTATCACGTAGATCGATACGTCCGGCAGTCCGTTGGAACAATGTCTGGTGAGTACGGAGGATGACGTATGGTTTCTAACTGCAGCTCCTGTAGAGTTACAACGGTTTCTCGTGCAGTGTGAGGTCTTGCATTATCGCTCTGGCCATATATTGGACATCATACATTGAACGAAATATCTTAAAAAATACTTTGGCAACACAGTTTGTGGTTAGCCGTGATTTATTCTTGAATGTTATGAGAAACGGAACGTAGAAAAAAAAAAGTATGGCGCCATGTTAGTTCAAACAGATGTTTGATGTCATCTGTCGAAATTGTGTCGATTTTCATAGTGCTACGTAAATTTACAAAAATCTTCGAAAAAAATGAGTGGACAGGTAAGATTTGAATTAAAATTTGTTAGATATATTATAAATTTGATGTAATACAGTATATTTTTGCGGATACGAATCTTTTGATACTAATTTGGAGTTTTGTTATGACGTCCATATATTGCCCAGAGCCCGTCTGAGTCAAACATATTTTTTTTTGGTTACAGAGAAAATTGATTCCTTTAGACAAAATTGAGGAAACTTTAGAGAGTCTTTTTGCATTATCGGATGGCGAGGAGTCTGAAGATGGTCACGAAAGTGATGATAGGGAAAGTGAGGCCATATTCTTGCCACCAAATTCATCGGACCTTGAGGATATTTTAGCTTCTCCGTCATCTTCAAATAACGGGAATGCCGCCAATTTTGAACCAGAGGATTCCGTAGTCCCTTCAGTAAGCGGAATTTCTATAGGACGAAATCAATCGGAAACAGCTGATGGTCCAAATATCAACGTGCCGATAAACAATAGTCCTGTGTCGTTATCCATTTCTGATTCTGAAGATGATTCTTCTGAAGATGAAGATTGGAAGAAAGTACTTTTCCCTCACGATGTACCAAGGAACAAGTTTGATGATATTCCTCTAAAGTCTCACCAGAATATTCCCAACAAAAGTGGACCTCATATTTATTTTCGTTTTTTTTTCACTGACGAAGTTTTATCTCTAATTGCAGAGCAGACAAATTTATATGCTGCCCAAAATAAACAAAAAAACTGGGTAGATGTCTCAAATGAGGAAATACAAGCTTTTGTAGGAATGTTGGTTTTGATGGGGGTGCACCCTCTACCCAATATTGACTTGTATTGGTCAACAGATCCATTTTTTTGTGTGAGAGAAATAGCAGACGTAATGACTGTAAAAAAATTTAAAATGATAATGAAAAATCTACATCTAAACGACAACACGAAAATGCCTCAAAGAGGAGAACCTGAATATGATAAACTCTATAAGATTCGACCACTAATAGCCGCAATGAACACTGCTTTTCAAAAGGGAGCTAGGAATTCGTCATCCCAAAGTATTGACGAATGTATGGTCAAGTTCAAAGGGCGCAGTACATTGAAGCAATATTTACCAAACAAGCCGATAAAAAGAGGCTTCAAGATATGGGCGAGATGTGACAGTAGCACGGGTTATTTATTTGAATTTGAGGTGTATACGGGAAAAAAAGACAATGATACTGAATTTGGTTTAGGAGCAGCTGTGGTAAATAGTCTTTGCAAAGTACTTATTGAAGAAAAGATAGAAAACGCACATGTAACATTTGATAATTTCTTTGCTTCGACCCAACTAATGCAAAGCTTGTATGAGAATAATATATATTCTACAGCAACAGTTAGATCCAATAGAACTAACTTACCCCGGACACTAAAAAATCTGATGGCCAAGAAAGGTAAACCTAAACTTTCTAGGGGTCAATATAAGTGGCGGGTTAACCGAAATGTAGCATGCTTTACATGGATGGACACAAAATTAGTCAACATTCTTAGTACCGCCATGAGAACGCAAAAAGACGGAAGGAAACAAGAAGTGCCTTGCCCTCTGGGTGTTGTGGAGTATACCAAAAGGATGGGGGGTGTCGATCGCTTTGATCAAAAGCGAGGCACCTATCCTGTAGCTAGGAGGAGCAGGAGGTGGTGGATGAGACTATATTATTTTATGGTGGATGCAGCAATTACGAATGCATACATTTTGTATGCTCAAAAAGTGCGTTACCCAATGTCTACTTTACAGTTCCGTACACTTCTCGGAAGAAACTTGATTGGCACTTTTACGAGCAGAAGGAAGAGGGTATCGAACTTGCCATCTTTTGTATCCAAAAGACCAAAAGTTGATAGCCGGCAGAAGGCAAAGTATGGTCTTCCAGATGATCAACGGCTTTCAGACGTTGGATCCCACCTCCCCGGTCCACTAGACTCTTACAGACGATGCAGGGCTTGCAGCAGCAATGCTAACAGCAAAAAATCGAAGATACAGTGCATACGATGCGAGGTAGCCCTATGTATTGTTCCATGTTTTGCCAACTTCCACAAGCCGTAGTACGGCTCTGTCCAAATAATGGACACCATGTACCGTTTTATATATATATACTTTTTTTTCCGAAATTTCAATAAAGTGCTCATATATGATGTATACCACTAAGTTTCATTTCTGTACCTTCAGCCGTTTCTTCTGCCTTATAAAGGGTTATCATGGAGCAATAATGGTGAAGATCGATTCACGAGTCGGGGCTGTTTCAGTGCCAATTTCGCGAGCAATGTTTGAAGTTCGGCACAGTAAACATCTGCTGTTATTGCCTCACCAGACCTGAGAAAGCTATAGTGAATAACACCATGAAGAAACCACCAAACAGTTACCATAACATTTTTATTTATAAGCTTCGCTTTAGGGCTCTATTGCGGGTTGTAGCTCTGTAGTTTGACCTTGCCATTGCAGCGATTGCATTTTTCGCTTACGGTTATCGTAAACTGTAAACAATCCACTTTTCGTCACATGTCACAATTCAATCCAATGTTCCTTCATTTCTTTACCGATTCAACAAGGCAACACAAGTTTCAACACGCATTTTTTTTCGAAAATCAGTCAAATCATGAGCAATCATTTTTCATTTTTGTTTTTGTTTTTTTTTTCTTATTGTATGATGCAAATGAGTCAATATTGTAGATAGGGTAACGTTAAACCATGCCATTAATGTTGGGTAGTTTCATTCGGATCGGCTTCCACCATCTCCTTCAATTCAAATTTACTTGGGTCGGTTCGTTCTTCAAGTCAAAGTTTGTATAACGAAAGCGTTTAAACCAAAAACTCACGGTGCGTTCATTAGCCGTCTAATCTCAAAACGCAGCGTTGATATTGAGAGCCGTTTCTGCCGCGTTAGTTCCGCGTTGGAACTCGTATTCAAAAATGACTCGACTTTTCGTGGTATAGGGTACGATTCACGACTAAGCTGAATTAAAAAAAAACAATTCAAAGTTGAAAATCTAATGTAGCACATTTAAAAAAAAAAGAAACTCATAGGTTTCATGTGAAAAAACTTTCACAAGAAAATCTCACACCATGAAGGTTTGATGTCAATTCAAAGTATCTATTACCATACAACTTCAATTTTATACTTTAACCCCTTTTTTGTGTGTAATTATTTGGTATTTTTCAATTAAATCTGACGAATGAAGGAAAACTTCGTATTCCTTTATAATTAACTATGAATAAGTAACTATGAATAAGTTTTTACAATGACACGACAGAAGCCTCTTATCAGAAGCCTTATTTATTCCAGTATTTACTTAAATTCGGACGCTGTGATTTCATCATCATCATGAACCCATCGCAGTCCACTGCTGAACATGAACAATTTAATTCCTAGAGTATCCAAAAACATGTAGGTCTTTTTCTGATTTTATATTTGGAGTTAGTCTGAATTTGAAAACCTATATTAGTAATTTTAATGACATGAACTTCTTAATTTCTACAGTCGCGTCGCCTGCTCAAATGACGGTAAGTTTATTATGTCTATCATATTACAATCATCAACCATCTATACACTAGATAGTCATATTGATCAATCTTGTCTTAGATGTTCTGGTCTCTTTAATTTTGTCTCTTAATATACAGGTGATTCACCTAGTTTAAGAAGCAGAGGTCCACCAATACTAATTCTCAAATACAAAAATAGTAAATTTTCATCAACTGTGTATTGAGATATTATAAAGATTTGCGTAAATAAAGTATTATTATTATAATTTTCTCTCATAAAATAGACAATATTATACATATGGTAAAATTGTATTGACAAGACGAGCCTTTATATAATAATATTTTGTTAAAAAACCAATGTTTTTTATTTTATGCACTACTTTACAAACATGTTATCTTTCATCTAGTAATATAACATGTTTCTTGTAAAGATTGAGGAAAATTAAAAGAGCTAGGCTCAATATAATATGAAAACGGATAAAATGAATACATCATGATGAGGCAAAAGCACAAGGAAGAAATAGAATAAGGAAAGAAAGGATAGAAAGAAGAAACAAAGGCCAAAAAACTGCCTCTTAAACCAGAAAGGCCGACCTCAAAAAAACTAACAAAGCAAGAAAAAGGAATAGATTGAATTGATTTTTTACTCAATTTGAGTGCAATAAAATCGAATCCGTATAGAATCGAGATGCTATGGTTAAATTTCTAATAGTTAATAAGCAACAGCTATATTCTGTAATTAATTGTATTTAAAAAATCTAGTCCAGCACTCAAAATAATTATTTTAACTGTAGCAGCTTCCAACATCAATATACTTGCAAGTAGCTTTTTGCTTGTACAATCTATTGCTCATCTCGTATTACATTTGACAGTTAGTCACAATTATTACACAGTAACTGTTCTATTATTGTAGTGACAGTTGTGTAGAATGGATGAATATAACGTAATTTAACTCTTTTGGTGTTTTCCTTTTTAAAAATAAAATTAACAATGTGGTCAGAGATGGAGTCAAAAAAGTAGGTCGTAATAGGGTGTCAGTACAGTTTGCATCCCCTCAGGATGCCAACTCATTTTTAATAAACCCCTTACTAAATTCACATAAATACACTGCCATCATCCCCACCTTTAACATCACTAGAATGGGTGTAGTATCAGGCATCCCCACCGACATGGATGATGAGGATGTCATTAAATTTGTTACAGTGCCGCAGGGTTGTGGCCCAATAATTAAAGTCAGGCGCCTTAATAGGAAATGTTTTACTGAAGGTCTATTGGAGTGGAAACCTACGGAAACCTGTGTCCTCACTTTTGATGGCCAGGTTCTGCCTAAAAGAGTATACTGTTGTTACAACTCGCTTCCTGTTCAACAATATATTTACCCAACCGTACAGTGTAGGAAATGCTGCAGGTTTGGCCATGTGGAGTCCATCTGCAGGTCCAAACCAAGATGCAGCAAGTGTGGCCATGAACATCCTGGTAATGGTTGTGAGGTATCAGAAAGAGAGGCCTTTTGTGTGCTGTGCTCCGGTGACCACTTTGCTTATAGCAAGGCTTGCCCGGAGTATGGTAGACAGAGAGCTATTAAGACCATGATGGCGGAAAGGAACATATCCTACATGGAAGCAAGCAAGGTTGTTCCCTCTCCAACACGCCGATACGCTGACATCCTAAAAGCTCCACAACTCAACCAACTCCCTCAACCTTCTCAATCCACTCAGCCTACCCAATCCCTCCAGCACACACAGTCCTACAAAAAAACTGTGGTTCGCCAACCTAAACCTCGATCCCCACTCTCACACTCCTACGATAAAGTCGCACACCAAGCCATTACTCAACCTCCCCAACCTTCACAACCTAATGGTTGTGCTATGAATAACTCATCCCTTGAATCCTCAACTATTGATCTTCTGTTACAACTCTTAACCTCCCTACTATCCCCCAATTCATCTCTATCCCAGTCTATTATACCGTCCAACGTTGCTGTCTCACTTATCAATATTTTAACAAATTTCAAAAATGGCGTCCCACAAAGTATTCCTACAATGGAATGTGAGGAGTGTATTCCATAAAAAACACGACCTCATATTCCTGTTGAACAAATTCAAGCCTCTGGCTATTTCTCTCGCTGAGACCTGGCTTTTACCAAGTCTCAACTTCCATGTCCCCCATTTCAATATTCTTAGATGTGATAGGCCTGATGGCCTTATTAATAATAAAATCCCCTTAGTTCCCCTATCCTTGCCCCCATTCCTTGAGGATATCAGCGTGGTTGCAGCTAAGATCTGTAACATATCTGTGCTCTCTATTTATATAGCCCACCCCCATCAAAGTTTCCTGCCTACATTGAGAACGATTTTACAGGATCTACGGGGCCCAATATTGGTTATGGGAGACTTTAACTGCCATCACTATAGATGGGGATCTGAACACTGCGACTCTTTCGGTTCAGGTTTAGTGGAGATCCTCGATGATCTGAGCCTCTGCGTACTTAACAGTGGCTGCTCCACTCGTAGAGTTCTTCCTGGTCAAAATAGTAGCTGTGTGGATTTGACTATTTGCTCACTCGACATCGCCGCAGCTGCTAGCTGGCAGTGCACCGATCTGTCCCATGGTAGCGATCATTATCCAATTTTAGTAACCCTCCCAACTTCAACCCACTTGGTAAAATCTCCCCCCCCCCTTTTAAAATATATCCTTTCAGAAGCTAACTGGCAAAATTTCTCCCAAACCCTCGAAAACTCTGTGAATGCTCTCCCCAGACTAGACCTTAGACCCTTAACCCAGGATGATCGTTACCTGGTGATGGACTGTTGTGACGCGTTCGTAGAGGCAATCAGATCAAGTGCAGACAGTTCCTTCAAAATTAAAAACTCGAGCAAAGGCAAAATTCCGTCACCTCCTTGGTGGGACAGTGAATGTACTAGGGCAGTCAAGTATAGGAAGGAGTCCGAAAGGAGATACAATGCCGATATGACCACCCATAATCTACTCACCTACCAAAACGTTTTCGCCTCTACCAAAAGACTCCTTCGACGCAAGAAGCGCGCCGGTTGGGTTAAATTTTGTTCCTCCTTGTCCCCATCCACCCCATCCTCAATGGTGTGGAAGAACATAAATCGGTTCCGATCTGGTTGTTCGCCCTCTGTCTCTTCCTCTATCTCCCCCAATACAGCTGAGCTTTTCCTGGACAGAATAGCCCCCCCGTATGTCCCACAACTCGATGAAGCGACCTTACCAGACTTACCGTTTCAGTCAGTGGATACCCATGACGACCCATTCTCTCTGGAAGAACTGAACATGGTCCTCAACAGTGTGCGAGACTCGGCTCCTGGCATAGACGGCATTCCATATTCTTTCATAGTTCAGGCCAAGCCTAGTACAAAAACTTATTTTTTAAACATTTTGAATTTCTGTTATTCTAACGGTTGGATCCCAGATACATGGAAAGTTCAAATTATTATCCCCATTCTAAAACCAGGAAAACATGCTGGTGATCCAAACAGCTTTAGACCAATCGCCCTCTCATCAGTCCTTATTAAATTATTAGAACATCTTATCAAAAACCG